GCGAATCGATCGGCAGCTTAATCATTCGGGCGGGGCCCTCCCCTCTCCCCTCCTCCCTCCCCCCTCCTCCCTGCACCTACCCCTCGTTGAAAGAGCTGCGGAAAGGCTCGGCTGTTGGGACAAAATGCTCGCGAGCCCCGAACCCCCGGAGCCAGAGGTATTGCCCTCTGAAAGGCATACATACCCTCCGCGCAACCTCCCTCGATCACGGCCGCATAAAGCACTCCGGCGCAACAAGAAAAATGCGCCGGGAGACGCGCTATAAAAATCCAGTCGGCGCGAATAAAGCTCTATTCGTTCGAGCCGCGATAAACCGGGTGGGATCGATAATACGATCGCTGCTCGTACGGCGCCTAACCAGTTTCCGAACGTGCCTCGCATTTCCACGTCGACTTACAGCTGGGATCTCGGCGATCCGCAAAAATTCTGCTTACCGTGAGATTCCGCACATATCCCGAGCAACCCAACAGATGAATTTGGAATCGCAGTTTTTTTTTCTTTTCGTCATATACTAATATAAATCCGAGACGTGATGATAAAAATATCCGTAATAAACACTTACCCCAATTTCCACCAATCCGTAGACTAATTTTGAACTTGCTTAAAATTATTTTCTAGCTTCATATAACTACTCGATAAATTAGAAGATGATGAAGGATAAATGGAACCGAGATCAAAGTTAATTTAACGAATGCATGTTACGAGATTCTGCACATATTCCGAGCGATCCAACGGATGAATTTAGAATTACATTTTTTTTCGTTATGTACACATAAATTTGAGATGTAACGATAAAAATATCCATAAATATCTACCCCCATTTTCATGAATGTAAATTAAATTTTGACGTTAGTTAAATTTAGTTTCTGTCTTTATGTAATTCTATGAATTAGAGGAAAAAAAAGGAAGAAAAAATAGGATCGAGTTTAAAATTAATCTATTTTGATGAAAATGGTTAATCGGCTAATAAGGAAGAATACGTATAAAAAGTAGTAACAAAGTAGTAACAAAATAATAAAAAATTATCTTTTAAAATGGTTCTTTTTCTAAACAAGAGAAGAATAAACGAGTAAAAATATTCAACGAACAAGATATCTCAAATACTTAATTTCTTATTATTTTTGAATTTATATATTTTATTATTTTTTAATTTTTATACATATGTTCATAAATTTTTTCAAATTATTTGTTTCGCGAGTCATGTGTCATTATTTTTATTTTTTACATAACAGACTTGTAACATAGAACTTTAAACCCAAAATTGAATTTTCCCTTTAAATAAATCGATAATTAAATAATGATATTTATTACTTCCCTTTTCCCCACGAGAAATTTTTTTATTGCGAAAATATATCACTTCAATCAGAATGCGCGTCTTTTTTTAAATTCTGGTCAATTCTAAATCTGATCTTTTTGTATAAAAAAAAAAGTTGAAACATTAATAAAAATAGATATGATTTGCAATGAAACTCACACGTGTGCGGTGTTTCGTAATATATTGAAGCTGCGACGTTTTGTATATGCGCTTCGTGCATCCCCTTCCGAAACTCCTCACCTAGCGGAAGAATGATCAAGCATGCAACCATTCGAGGGTGATTGACGAGGCGTCACGGAGATATAAAAGCGTTATATGGCGTGGCACGATACACCGTTCTAGAGCGGTAAACCCCCGATATGTATGTACAGGATAAGCCAGAAGTCGCTTCACGTTGAAAAAGTGATCGTATCGAAAGAAAAATTTATCTTAATAAGACGTAGCTCGGAAAATCCGTCCGAGCATGCGATCGGATATCTCTCTACCGAGATAAGGGGATCATTATACGTAAATTATAAATATCTATTTATATTTATATTTTCAGTAAGATCGATGCATATAATCTAAGGGGAAAAGTGTTGTGCTCTATCCCCGGATTGACGGTTCACCATGTATATCACGTAACTGCATTGTTGTAAATCACGTGGAACGACGCGCGCTGTAAAAGCTAACTGACTTTGACTTTTACACTTCGAATCGCGTGGCCGTCAAATGTTGCCCTCCCCAATGCGATGAGCGACTGCTCAATCCGATGCCGTAATCGTTTCGGATCCAGTGATACACACACACACACACACACACACACACACACACACACACACACACACACACACACACTATATATATATATATACGTATGTATTTCATATACATATATACATATATACATATATACATATATTCACGTATAATATATCTTTTTCTAATTGTAATATATCTTCTGTGAAATTTGACTATATGTGCTATTGAAGATTAATTGAAATTTGTAATATAATACTAATCATATATTATTATTATTATAGATTATACTATTATTATCGTTCATGCAGATCCTATTATTGATTAATTAATTAAATATACAATTAATTAACTAATCTGTTTAATAAAACGTCTAAAATTGTATTCAGATCAAGCAAACAAATATAAAATGAATGAATCCATCGTCACCATTCATATTTATTACAGGAAATTCTTTATTCGTATTTATTCGTAAGTGCTTGCCTGATTTTGATATAATCTAAAAAGTATTGCTCGTGAAAAATAAAATAATCGACTTTTATCAGTGAGAGAAAAAGAGAGGAAAACATAATAAGAGTGAAATGAACAACCGCAAATGTAAACTGGACGAGAAAACATGGCGCTACAGGAAAGACAATCGTAAAAGGATGAATAAACGTGCGAAACGAGGCGCCTTTTAAGAAAGGAGATCGCTGTTCGATCGCTCGAGCTTTTGTGATTTTCCAACCGGAAGAAGATCAGAAAGCAGAACGAGATCTGCGCGCGGGGATATTCTTTCATGGAAGTTAAGTAACGAAGCTTCGGAGCCATATCGATGTAGCCGGAGGTTACTGTCCTCTTTCTTCTACAATATCGATAGGGATGTGTTCCGACTTTCAAGTACCGTAAAGAAAGAAAAAAAAAGCTATTCTTAATTGGGTAGGAGTTACAAGAGCTAGCTTATGATATTTATTATTTTGCTAATCCCTAAATGTTTATAAAAATATATTGATATATATTTAATACTCATTTTTTAGCTTGCATGCATATATTTAACGAAATCTGCGAATAATACAAACAAAAGAATAATTATATTTATATTATTTGTTGTAATCTTTTTGGTAAAGCTATTTACAACGTTAAAATTAAATAAACATTATTCTAATCTTATACGGAAATAAAATAATACGGAAAATGATGAGGCGAAGAAATTCAACTTTGTTATTTCACAAAACTTCTTTTTGATGTAAGATATACACCTTTCTTTTTAAACTTTAATTAATTTTATAAAAATCTCATACAAGACGACGTTTGTGCGACATTAGACATTCTTTCATCGTCATCGTGAAGGGTGAACTTATCGAAATTCCTTTTATATTTTTACGTTATATGAAGAAGCACATTCCAATATCAAATTATTCGTAGGAAAATGTGAGTCGATTGTAAGACGAACGTGTGGAAATCAGGATGTGCCTCGGAATACCGAGTGCTTTTTGGCATGTAAGCTCGCAAAGGCGAATGCATATGCGTCGAAATGGAAATGCTTCTTCAGGAATCGCGTATGTTAGGAGATACCCGGCGGCTTACGAACTCGATCTTGCATGCTTCGTACTGACTCGGGATCATGTCTTATCGGATTTTTGTTTTTTCTCCTGTCTTTCTTCCCCGTGACAAAACGTCACACGGTCGTCTGTGTGAATCGAGCAAATCTTTGTGCGATTGGCTGGAGTTACGCATGGAATTCGATTACCTCGGGTGAAGCTGAGTAAAGAGGATCGTCGGAGTGGCGAGAGCCATGAATGACATTGGATTCCATATAGATTGGCAAACAGATGGGAAGTAAATATTTATTATTCTGAAACATTGAACAATATAATAAATCGTAAATATTGTAAAATTATAATTATAATTGCTGAATTTTTTTCTGTGCTGAAATCTATGAAATAAGTTATGTTTTATATAAATACAATCAAGTAAAAGTATAAAACTTACCTTTTACATTCTTATCAAGAAACTTGAAGAGACAATGATTTATACGAGAATTACACAACATATTTTTTAGATTATTTTTTCATGATTTTAATAGAGTTTATCATTTAAGAAAAAGAAGGAAGGAATTAAAAAAATATTATTTCCATATAAAATGGCGATAAATCAAAGTATTCTTTATTTTGGGGAATTAACGCAATGTGTCATAAATCGTATAGTATTCTT